AAGTTTCCCATCTCAAAACCGACTGACTCAAAACTTCCAAGCCGGCATGCGTTAACGGCAACCGTAGCCGGCGAACATAGCCGTTTGTTGTACGTCACAGATGTGACAACGAGAGTTCACTACCTCGTCGACACTGGCGCAGAAGTTAGCGTTCTCCCAGCAAATCCTAACGACCGGCTTCAGGAGTCGGCTTTAAACTTACAGGCGGCAAACGGAAAACCTATCGCTACCTATGGCAAAACGTACGTTTACCTGAACGAGAGATTACGTAAACCCATTCACTGGATCTTCGTTGTTGCAGATGTTTCTATGCCAATCCTTGGTATGGACATTCTACAACACCATAAACTTATCATCGATACGCGCAAACGGAGGCTAGTAGATGGAAACACTAATTTATTCGTTTGCGTAACTTCTTTTTCTGGTTGCAGATTATCTCCAGTCACAATTAAGCATGCGATAGACCCACTTTATCAACCACTACTCGATAAGTATCTTGGGACTCATCAAACGCAATCAAAATTACCGTGTGTAACCGGCAACGTTACACATCACATCATGACTACAGGACCACCTGTATTCTCTAAAGCACGACGACTAGCTCCTGAAAAGCTAAGGTTGGCGAAAAACGAATTCGATTACATGATAGAATTAGGAATCATACGACCGTCAAATAGCCCATATGCATCTCCGTTGGACGTGGTCCCCAAAAAGGACAGCAACGATTGGCGTCCAACTGGTGACTATCGTCGATTGAATGCGAAAAGCATTCCCGATCGTTACCGGTTGCCTGACATTCACGATTTGACAGCTACCTTGAAAGGTACAACTGTCTTTTCGAAAATCGACTTGATTAAAGCATATAACCAAATCCCCATGGCCACAGACGACATACCGAAAACCGTCATCATTACTCCCTTCGGACTCTATGAATTTTCGCGAATCCTTTTCGGTCTAAGAAACGCTGCTCAAACATTCCAAAGATTCATAGACGACGTTTTTTGAGGTCTCAACTTCGTACATGCGTATGTTGACGACTGCCTAATCGCAAGTCCGGACAGAGAATCACATCTCAAACATCTGAATCTTGTTTTCGAACGACTACATAAACATGGCATTAATGTAAACGTTCAGAAATGCCTAAATTGCTCTTTACTCATGAAACCTCTAACCGACCAACTTCGTGGAAATGCGAAATTCATTCATTTGGACGACACCGCACGAAAAGCATTCTCCACAATTATGGAACTCATCGCTAAAGCAACAATGCTTGCACATCAGGACACTCAAGCACCCATTGGCATCGCAGTAGACGCATCCGACTCAGCAATCGGACGAGTCTTACCACAATGGGTTAACAACTGGCAACTTTTGGCATTTTTCGCTAGACGGTTGCTAGACACCGAATCAAGGTACAGCACATTCGGTAGGGAACTCCTAGCTATGTATTGTGTTGTACGGCATTTTCAACACTATATCGAAGGTCGTGAATTCACCATTTTCACTGACCATAAACCGCTCACCTTCTCTCTTAGCTCTCCTTCAGACAAGTTCTCTCCCCGTGAGTCTCGACAACTGGACTACATTTCGCAGTTTACTTCAGACACTCAACACATCTCTGGACCAAACAAAGTAGTTTCAGACGCTTTGTGTCGCATAACTTTCTTGAACAGTTTCCAAGGAATCGACCTTCTAAAACTCGCTCAGCTTCAAAAAGAAGACACTGATCTTCAGCAAGAGTTATCGTCCACAACCCTTAAACTACGCATCAAACAGATGGGAACAGGTAAGGAAACCTTACTTTGTGACACATCTACGGGTAGGGATCGCCCAATCGTCCCGAAACATTATCGACGCAATGTCTTCAACACGTTGCACAAACTTTCTCATCCACGTGTTCGTGCAACCATCAAGCTCATAGCAGAACGGTTTTGCTGGCCTGGTATGAATAAAGATGTGAGGGAGTGGGCACGCTCCTGTGTAAGCTGCCAAAAATCTAAGGTTATCAGGCACAATAAATGTCCCTTAGGCTCATTTAAAACTCTCGATGCTCGGTTCGACCACGTTCATCTGGATTTGGTAGGACTTTTACCAGATTCAAATGGATATTCTTATCTCTTAACCTGCGTAGACCGTTTCACTCGATGACCAGAAGCAGTACCTATCAAAGACATCACTGCTGAAACAGTGGCCCGCACCTTCGTCGAACGATGGGTAGCAAACTTCCGTTGCCCTTTAACCATCGCTACAGACCACGGACGTCAGTTTGAATCTGAACTTTTCCGTCGTCTGACCACACTTTTAGAAATCACTCGCCTCTGAACGACTGCCTACCGTCCACAAGCAAACGGATTGGTAGAACGCTTTCACCGACAACTAAAAGCTTCACTATCAGCTGCAAACGTTTCACAGTGAACCGACGCTCTTCCACTCGTCTTACTAGGTTTTCGCAATGCAGTGAAAGCTGACATTGGATACACTGCGGCTCAACTCGTTTATGGAACGACACTTTGACTTCCAGGAGAATTCGTGGATCCTTCGTCCTCTTCAATGAATATGGATTTAACCTCCTACACGAACAGGCTTACAAACGCAATGCGTTCAGTTAAACCTGCTTCCACACGATCACAATCCACCGATCTTTTCATTCAACCTGTTATGACCTTGAATCGCTTTTACCCCGTGATACTTGTTATGACTTCAACTTGATCTGTCTAGACTAAACTATGACCTTGACGCGATAGGGTGAGCGGCTTAACCTTGAGTCTATCACGCGTGAGTTCGAGATGGGGTAGAGAGATAACTATTCTAGAACCTGATTGGTTGGCAAGCACGCAAGTGAGAGAAGACAAGACAGTTGGAACACTGAACTCTGGATTCTCTGAATTCTCTGAATTCGGATTAGTACAAAAATGTACATGAATAAATAAGTGAATATCTTGACCACGACGTACGATAATTTGGAAAAATACAGTTATGCCCGAAACAGGGAATTAGGGTAGAAAATACAGTGCAAAATATTATGTTTAAATTACAATATTTTCGGAACAAAAAAGAGTATGCTAGTGAATGATACATAGAACGAAAGCTCGTGTTATGTAGAATAAGGTGGGGACAAAAATAAATATAAGTGTTTTACAGGGTTTGAATGAAATGCAATAACGTCCCAAGAAAATAGCTTTCGTAATTGTCTGGGCTTCTTGATTCCCCGTTCATAACACAACCTGACTTACAATATAGTACACACGTTTTCAATCGCTGAGAATCGCACCGATGACCATTCGAATCGGCATACGAAGGACCTTTCAAGGTTCTTCAACCTGAATCTAAGTACTATATAGTCGATAAGAACGGAACAAACGATAGCATCAACATCGATAGCTTCAAAGCAGCATATTTAGAATTAAATCCTATATACGTCGACATTCCTTCGGTACAATCGCACAACACTACTCCTACACTCATAATTCCTCAACCGACAACCAACAATAGCGATGACATTCCGAATGTATCTGAAAATAAACTTAAAACGACGCGTTCTGGAAGAAGAGTAAGATTTTCAGAACATTTAAACGACTACTGCACATAAAGCAATACTTGACATTTTATATTATCTCGATCTTTCTTTTTACCATATGTAATATTTTTAAAAAAAAACAATTTTAATATGCTTATATATTTTTATTTTAATTTTAAAAAAACCAACAAAAAAACATAAAAATCCTTTTTTAACGACACTGCGGGTATATGAGTTTATTTTCCATTTTTTTCGACGACATTGCGTTTTTACGCACATACGAGTGTATTTCGACATGCACTTACATTTCCTTGTTTCTTTTCCAGGACGGCTGGAAAAGGACGATGAAGTTTACGAGGAGCCAAAATTTTCACTGTACTTTTTCTTACTATGTTATGTACATCATGGTCCCCTATAGTAAGGAAAGACGACCAGACCCTGCTAAACCTAGCAAGTTATCAGAATAGTGTTTACCAACGACAATACTCGTTGGGTTTAAGCTTCTGGCTGGCCACGCCTTAGGGTCATCACTACCCCATTAAGAGGGGAGTGATCTGTAGCGGTAAATAAATCCTCAAAATAAATAGCTCTGTAAGTTTTGACATTGCATGCTCGCCAGATTAGTTTTAGTGGGCTCACCTAGCTGAAGGCGCTCGGTCATGCATCCGCACCAGATCACGTGTGGGAACGCCCTGCTCAACATCTACTGGCAATCGTCAAATACAACTTCCGATCTCCTCGATTCTGTCTTTTGATTTCTCTTGGTGGGTACGAGTTATATGAGAAGGTGTTACTGGTAAAAGCGTTGTCAAACATTGAATATCTGTGCCATCTTCACTGTTAAACGTCTTCTCATAGTTAAGGAAATTCGTGCATAGTGACGAGTTCTATTAAAATGATTTTTCAATGATGATCTTTATTGTTGCAATTTTTAATACTCGATAGACCCTAATGAAATCCAGCTTTTTGATCTCGAATTCGGACATAAATCGAATATTTCATGGATAAGTTGATAAGCGTTTGATTTAAGTTGGCGTTTTATTGTGAGGGATGCGTAGCACGACCTAGTCACTCATGATCTGATGCGGATGTATGATCGAACGCCTCCATCTGTGGTTTGTTCAGTGATACTAGTGAGTCCAGTGTCAACGTCGCATACATACAAAACTACATATTTTTTAGATTTAGTTACTTCTACAGCTGTTGACAGTGACTGTGTAGACCCTTTTAAAAACAATCAAGATTGATAATGATACGTTGAAGCATCCTTTCTGCATTCAAGAAGTACATGTTAGATGTTTAGCTACATTATTCATCCCCTACAATGGGATATTCTTTGCAGCACCATTCATGGCAGAATATCAGTATTCCATTAATAGTAGAAAGCGAGAACTTCAGATAAGAAATTTTATTTTGTTCAAAGGAAGATGAAGACATTCTAAAAAATTTGATTTATTCATTAATGAAAGATTAGTTGTTTAGACCCGTACTTGGGGCGCGACTTATGGTCTTAGACGTTGGTGTGTTACTAATTCAGTTAGTGTGGTATATGAGACATATTACAAGTGATACTTAACATTGTTTCTTTAATCGCTGATTCGTGTTCTTTAGAAAAGTCCCCATGCAACTTTATTCTTTGAAAATCTTCAAGAAGCAATCGTTTGTGCAAGGCTTATATTAGAATGCACATCGAACCTAGTTTTAGTTCCAAACAAAAATTTAACAACTAGTTCCCACTGTCTAAATATAATCATAGTTCCCAGCATAACTTGTAAACAGCTCTTGCATGCTTGGCTTCTCGAGCAGATATTATGTAAACTATATATCATAGTAGGTTTATCTCATCTTTACCGAAAAGGGATGTCAGTAGTTGGTTTGAATTTCAGTCTCATATTCATACCCCTTCTATGTGCAAACTGGAGTCAACACCTTTCCATCTTTCTATGGGTTGGGTTCTTGAGAATTAACACTACCAGCGTTAGTTATCTGAACAGATAAATCTATCAGGTAAATAATTTGCATTCTAATGTATACGAGGTGAAAGGATTGAAGCAAATCTGCTTGTAGATGTAATTCAGGGGAATTTCCTTTTGACAACTAAGTATTACATGGTTAGTCTGTGGTTCTAAACTCTATATTGTAGCTCTTTGTAAGGCCCACTTTCGCCCTCCTCCCCGTATGCTGTGCATCAGTCGAAATGGTCAACCGGAATGCCTCCATTCATGTCACTTGTATACCTATGTTCTGTATCGTCATTCCAGAATGTAATGATTTAGTACCCTATCACTAAACATGATGTATTCATTTTAAAACTCAGGCACAGGTTTTTGTATGCAGCGTTTATTCACTTCACTCTATGTGAGGACTAACGACACGGCCATGTTACCCAAAATGAAGTAGCTAGCCCCAGGTTTGAATTTCTAGACCAAGATTATGAAGTCAATTGCTCTGAATATTAATCCACTACTCCATATAACAGACAAAATGGAGAGAAATGTAGTAAGACACCATTTTGTTTGGTGGTGTATTTGGATAGTCACTGATAATACTTAGTATGTAAAGTTCAAGACATTAAGGTACAGATAGATTTTTATGTTCTAAACGTTCAGTAATGCTAATATTTGCTTGGCATATTGGCTGTTAAATGTCGGTAGTATTCACTGAACAAAGTTGAACTCATCCCTTAAACTGTTATTGGTTATACATTACTAACTACAATGTTTTGTTCGTTAATTGGACTCAAGCATTGTTTCACAATAACCTTCCAAACATTTATTGTACATAAGTCCTCTAATAAACATCACTACCCCTTCGATTAACAATTTACGCTAAGAAGTTTAAGGACACATTCAACATCTTGATCTTTTTCATCTAGTTGCGCTTTCAGTACTTTGTAAATCTTAACTCGCTCCACTAAATGGTCATTTACAACCAACTGGAGAATCCCGATCTCAAGGGATACTTACTTACGCCTGTTACTCCCCACAGAGCATAGGCTGTCGATCAGCGTTCTCTAATCCACTCTGTCCTGGGCCTTCCTTTCCAGTTCTGTCCAATTTTTGTTCATTATTCTCATGTCTGTCTCCATTTCCCGACGTGGTGTGTTCTTTGGCTATGAGGGTTCCGTGCGAGGGCTTGCCTTCTGAAGCAGTTGGGTGCTTTCCTCAATGTGTGTCCTATCCACTTCCAGCGCTTGTTCCTCCGCCGAGATCTGGTTTGTTCTCTTCCACAATAGGTTGTTGCTAATAGTGTCCGACCAACGGATCTGAAGTATTTTACGTTGACAACTGTTAATAAACACCTGTATATTATGGATGATGGCTTTCGTAGTTCTACAAGTTTCCTCCCCATACAGTAGAACTCTCTTGACATTTGTGTTGAAAATCCTGACCTTGGTGTTGGTTGACAGTTGTTTTGAGTTCCAAATATTCTGCAGTTGTAAATATGTTGCTCTTGCTTTTCCGATCCGCGCCTTCATATCTGTATCAGATCCATCGTGTTCATCAATGATGCTGCCCAGATATGTAAAGGTCTTTACATCTTCCAAGTCTCCGTCAATTGTGATTGGATTGGTGCATGCTGTGTTGTATTGGAGAACCTTGCTCTTCCCTTTGTGTATATTGAGACCTGAGGCTGCTGCTATACTGGTCGTCTTCTCCTGCATTTGTTGTTGCGTTTGGGAAAGATGGGCCAGATCATCTGCGAAGTCTAGATTGTCCAGCTCCATCCTATCTGTCCACTGTCCCAATCTTCCTTTCAGATGTTGACGTCTTCATGCTCCAGTCGATCACCAAGAGGAAGGGTGGGAGTAAGCAACCTTGGCTGATACCGGTCTTTACCTCGAACGAACCTGTCAACTGTCTTTACGGAATCCAACCTGTTGGTCACGAAGTTGGGCGTCTACGCAGTCCTTCATTCTGTTTAACAATACTCTATTGAAGACTTTTCCTGGTATTGAGAGAAGAGTGATGCCTTTGTAGTTGTCACACTTGCTGAGATCGTATTTCTTTAGTATATTGATGAGGTGTCCTTTCCAGTCTGTTGGTATTTGTTCTTCATCCCAAATCTTGCTGAAAAGGATGTGGAGTATCTTTGCAGTTACTGCTACGTCTGCTTTTAGTGCCTCTGCTGGAATGTTGTCTGGTCCTGCTGCTTTGCCACTCTTGATTTGTCTGATGGCCATGCTGATCTCTTTAATTGTTGGTGGGCCAGCATCGATTGGGAGGTCCATGGGTGCTACTTCAGTGTTGGGTGGGGCTGGTCAATTCAAAAGTTCTTTGAGGTGTTCTACCCATCTGTTTCGTTGCTCTTCAATGTTGGTGATTACTTTGCCTTCCTTGCTTTTCACTGGTCGTTCTGGTTTACGATAATTTCTAGTGAGCTTCTTTGTTGTATCGTGCAATTGCCTCATTTTTCCTTAACTTGCAGCCTTTTCCGCCGTCATTGCTAAATCTTCCACATATTTACGTTTGTCTGTTCTGATGCTCCTCTTCACTTGCTTGTTTAGTTCTGTGTATTCAGCTTGTACCTTGCCTTTTTCCGCTCTTGTTCGGCTGGTGTTGATTGCTGTCTTCTTGTTCCTCCTTTGTTGAATCTCATCCAGTGTATCAACAGTGATCCATTCCTTGTGATAGTGCTTCTAGTGGCCCAGAACCTCATGACATGTTGAAGTGATTGCCTCTTTGATCCCTTTCCAGTTGCTCTCTATCGTAGTCCCCTCTCCATTGAGTAGATCACGAAAGGAATCTACTGCTGAGAACTATCTTGAATTCGTTGAGTTTGTGAGTATTCCGAAGAAAAGCCATATTAAACTTTTGTGATGTTGTCCACCCCGTTTTCCAGTGCTTCTTAAGTTTCAATTTCATCTTGGTGACCAGCAGATGATGATCTGATGCTATATCAGCTCCTCTTCTGGTTCTCACATCCTCCATTGTCCTCCTGAACTTTTTGTTAACGCAGATATGGTCGATTTGGTTCTGTGTAGTGTGATTCGATGAAGTCCATGTGGTTTTGTCTATGCATTTATGCGGGAATATAGTGCCGCATATGACCAGTTTATTGAAAGCACATAGGTTTGCGAATCTCTCACCATTTTTGTTCCTTTCTCCTAGTCCATGTCGTCACATGATATCATCATATCCGATGGTGTCCATTCCAGCGTTGACATTCAGGTCTCCCATCAGAATGGTCAAGTCCTTTGTTAGGCAGTTCTGGACGATTGATCGCAGCCTGTCGTAGAATTGATCCTTAACGTCTTCATTGTAGTCTTTGGTAGGCGCATAGCATTGGATGACGTTCATTGTAATGTCCTCTTTCTTTGTTTTGAATGAAGCTTTGATGATCCATAGTCCATGAGATTCCCATCCTATAATTGCATTTTATACTTGTTTGGACAGCATCAATGCAACTCCTTGTGTATGTGGGGCATTTTCTTCATCATGGCCGGAGTATAGCAGAAGCTCCTCTGAAGCTAGTCGTTGTTGTTCAACTTTCGTCCAATGTGTTCCACTGATTCCGAGCACTTCTAGGTTGTATCTCCTCATTTCTGCAGCAATTTGGAAGATTCTTTCGGTCTCCCACATTGTACGAGCATTCCGTATACCTAAATAAATGGTTGCTCTGGTTATTTGAAAGAGCATCAGCCTCGTGACTTCCGAAGGAACTTGGCTTTTACCATGAGGCGTCGTAACTCTTCTAAATGAAGACCTTCAGACTCTCAGGGCAGAGTTTAAATGGTTTGAATAATTTTTTCTGGTTAGCGTTTTTTAGCGAGTTGGTTTTCTACGGGATGAGGTCGCTAACCCCATGCCTAACCCTCCTCCTTTATCCGGGCTTGGGACCAGTAGTAGCCCAAGAGTGGCATAGGCGAAGTTTAATCGTAATTATTTTATGAGTACGTGATATTTACCGTATACTCGGTTGATATCAATTACTAAAGGATTCCCCCCTCCATAAAGCCACAGTAAACTAGACTAAACGTACCTGAATGTCATCGCACTTAATTGCCTGATAAGTTTTTTTTTAGATTCCTTGACTCATTAAGAGTAGTGAATGAATGGTACTTACTCCATTTCTTTGTAGCCAAGATTCTGATTTCCGAGTAATATCTTGTTCTAACTCATAAAAACACATTTTCGTGATAACTTTATCCGTCTATGTCGACTTAATAAAGACTGTATTTTGGTTCAAAAACGTTGGTACATTTAGTTTACTCCCGAAAAACAATAGGTACTATTTGTTTCTAATATACTCTTGATAGATCTTTAATTGCTCTAGTTCTGTTTCGATCAAACGTATCACCTAAGCTGTTTTAGTTTTGTTGAGGTATAGTAACTTAACTCATTGACGTATACTCAACTTTGAGCCACCTCGTGCGAGGATCAGTGATGCTATCAGGCTGACCAAACCGAAGTAGGTAGAGTGGTACTCAAATTTGTGGTGTACTGACAAAATTTCGAACATTATTTAAATGGGCCATTCCATGTAAATGCGTTTGTCTGTAATTAATCAGTTACTTTAGTCCCAGTTTTTACATCCGAATACCAAATACTGTTGTTTAAGACTTGAATTACATACTTTTTTGAACTCCAGTTGTAGACTTAGTGGAGTGGTTGCTTATTGTTTAAGGCGTCCAACTTATGGCCACTAAGTTCCAGGCTCAAACACCCCTACTTTTCTCAGTTTGGGCAACTGGCCGGTATCATTATTCCTCATATAGAGTGTACCTTATACCCAAGTACTCGGAGTTCACCTGAAACTTGGTCTTGTGTAACATGTCCAGAAATTTAACGGAAAAGCTTTTCCTTTACATCTAAAATCCATCCCAAAAATAGGAGAGCAAGACTTAGAATCCTCCATATCGAGATTTTTCGCTGAGGTTCTATATCAAAACAAAATTAAGTAGAAAGTCGGTATTCAGTTATGTAGATCAACTGTTGGTTGTCAGATTTAATATTATCAAAATCCAAGAAGTAACTTTTCATTGGCGTCAATTCAAAATTAAGAAGTGGACAATTGTCCACTGTTGTAAAATTTCTTGCATTTTACACTGCACATATCTCACTAGAATTAGAGGTATTAAATAACCTCACTTGTGACATCTCCATGTACAAACCTCGATAATCGTAGGTTAGTTAACAGCTATCCGTAGTGAGTTTGAGGATATTACGATTACCTACTGAGTCCATAAAAACGAACTCATTATTGTATCCGATATACATCATTGACTAAATCCAAGCGGTTATTCTTTAATGTATTTTTTGCTTTAGAAACCTGATATGTCTACAGGCAGCAGTGCTCGTCGAACTGAAGTGACAAATGCCAAAGTACGAATCAAAGCTTTTCCTCCTTCGATAGATGAGAGATATGCCAATCAGTTATGGGATCAGATTAAAAGTGCGATAATCGAGATTCAAAAGAAAAACAACAGTTGTTTAAGCTTTGAAGAACTCTACCGCAATGCGTACACTTTGATATTACAAAAACACGGTGAACGTTTGTATGCTGGGACAGAGGCTGTTGTACGTGAACATATGATCAAGATCCGCGATAGTATTGTTGAGAATCTAAATAATAAGTTTTTAACTTATCTTAACTCATGTTGGAAAGATCACCAAACTGCTATGGGAATGATTCGTGATATTCTTATGTACATGGATCGTGTCTACGTCGGCCCCCATAACCTGGATGGAGTTTATAAGATGGGAATGACTGTTTTCTGCGATCTCGTCGTACGTTATCCAATCATTAGAGAGCACTTGCAGAAAACTCTGTTGGATATGGTGCGCAGGGAACGCCGGGGTGAAGTGATATCCCGTTCTCAGATTCGCGATGCCTGTCAGATGTTTGTGCAGTTAGGGGCCGGATCATTACGTGTTTACCTTGAAGATTTTGAACAGCCATTTTTGGAGCAGTCAAGAGAATTTTACCGCACAGAAAGTGAAAATTTTCTTTCTGAGAATACTTCTGCTTCCTTGTATATTAAAAAAGTCGAACAAAGAATCGAGGAGGAAGTTCGAAGAGCACATCATCATCTTGATCCATCCACGGAACCCAAAATCGTCGTCGTATTAGAAGAGGAGCTTATAAGTCGACACATGGAAACTATTGTCGGCATGGAAGATTCAGGATTAACGTACATGTTAACTCATGATCACTTCAGTGATATCGCTGCTATGTATGGCGTTTTAAGTAGGGTTGAAGAAGGACCGAAAATAATGAGTAACTACATTAGCCTGTACTTAAGAGAGCAAGGAAGAAATACTGTACGTGATACTGGGTCATCAACACCTCAACAGCACATTCAAGATTTGCTTCAATTACGCGATCGCGCCAATGAATTACTAACGAGAGCACTTAATAATCAGACAATATTTCGTAATCAAATTAATTCTGATTTTGAGTACTTTGTCAATTTAAATCCTCGTTCTCCCGAGTTTCTGTCATTATTTATTGATGAGAAACTAAAACGTGGCACCAAAGGTATGGCAGACCAAGATGTAGACGCCATTTTCGATAAGTGTATTGTATTATTCCGATATTTACAGGAAAAGGATCTATTTGAAGGTTATTACAAGAAGCATCTTGCAAAAAGGCTGTTGTTAAGTAAAAGTCAGTCAGATGATCAAGAAAAGATTATGATATCCAAGCTTATGGCCGAATGTGGTGCTGTATACACAAGTAAACTAGAAGGAATGTTTAAAGATATGGCAGTGTCTAAAACCCTCATGGATGAATTCAATGTAGTACTATCTAATGGTAATCGCAATCTTAACCTAGATCTGTACGTTCGTGTATTAACTACTGGTCTTTGGCCAACTCAAGTAACTAGTTCGAATGAAGCGTTACCAGAAGAAGCTGATACAGCGTTTAAAGTTTATAAAAAGTAAGTCATTTCGTACACATGTGTTTTGCATAATAAACATTTACTATCGTTATTATGATCGTATTTAGTTCCAAATGTGTAACTAAGCTTAAAACATAAACCACCTCCCTAGAAATGAGTCACAATTAGTATGCTGAATGTTCCTAACACTTATTTATTTATTTGAACACATGAATATTGGTACAAGAGAGCGCCAATATATATGCGCCACACAAAACAATGAGAATTCGAAGAGAACAATAACGAAGAGATTGGCGTAAGGTAGTGTGGTAGTAATAAGGGAACGGAAAGGTGCAATCAGAAAAAAATCTTTCAGGTAAGGGAGACACAACCACTTTTTATGAAGAAAGTAAAAGAAGGTTACAGCAGGATCGCCACTGGCTTCTATTCTGAGCCATATCTGATAACGTCTCTAGCCACTGTGTAGAACCATCTCTCAGACCCCAACCAGGGAGTCGTGAAGGACCAACAGAAGTCAGCCCTTTACAGCTTTCTTTCATATCACGACACCATGTCATACACTGAACATCTCCCCGCTTTTTACAACCAGTCCCAGTGTCAGCAAATAATGCACGACGTGGAATTCTCTGGGACGACATTCGTAGAACATGTCCAAGCCACCGAACTCGATGTTTCAGGATGGTAACACCAACTGCATCATCATCTCTGCGCCCGAACACACGATGCCGAACCTCTGCATTACTAACATGGTGTTGCCACTGGATGTTAGCAATCCTTCGGAGACAGCGATGATCGAACACAAAGAGTCGTCTAACGTCCTCAACTCGGAAAGGCCAGGTTTCACAAGCATAGAGCAAAACTGCTCTCACTGACGCGTTGTAGATCCGACCTTTTACAACCAGACTAACATCACGAAGGCGCCAAAGGTGGCCCAGATTGGCATAAGCCGCTCTGGCTTTCACTATACGTGAATTGATCTCATCACTCACGCCACCACCAGCACTTATGCAGCTACCTAGATATACGAACTTTTCGACTACTTCTATCTGCTCACCATCCAGGGTGAGTACAGGATTAGAATCCTGCCAGTCCTGTAGAAGTACTTTGCACTTCGAAGGTGTAAAGCACATACCATACCTACGAACATTGATTGCCAACTGATTAAGTGCGGATTGCATGCCTTGGGCATTATCGCACAGTAAGACAATATCATCTGCATACTCAAGGTTGAGAAGTCTTTCTCCAGGCAACAGATCCACACCGCCATTGCTTACACCCATCAGCGCTGTTTCCAGGATTTCATCGATGGCAAAGTTGAAGAGGAATGGTGAGATTGGGCGACCCTGACTAACCCCATTGCACGAATGGAACAATGGAGAGAGGTGGTTGTATGCCCTCACTCTACCTAAGGTGTTTGTACATAAGGCCTTCAAGATATTGATAAAGTTTTCAGGTACACCCTTCTTCAATAAACAATCCCAGAGAACAGTCCTGTCCAACGAATCGAAGGCGGCCCTGATGTCAAGAAACACTATGATTGTTGGCCTTTGATAAGTATGGCGGTGTTCTAACATTTGGCGGAGGGTAAAGATATGATCAATACATCCTCGACCAGAACGAAACCCAGCCTGCTCCTCGCGAGTCAATCTTTCTCGGGTTTTGAACAACCTACGAAGTATGACGGAAGCCAATAGCTTAGACGCAATCGGAAGTAGACTTATCCCCCGATAGTTGTTACAGGAACGACGTGAACCGTTTTTAAAGATAGGGACAACTATCGACATCCCATGAAGTTGGTACGCTCTCTAGTTTCCAAACCTTTGTAAACAACGTCGTCAATTCCTTAGTCAAAAAGTCACCACCATCCTAACACTGAGTTTCATTTTATCAGCGAAACCGTCTTTTTAGTAGCTTAAGTAATATTGGTACTTTGGTTTGCATTTAATAATTTTTATTTGTTTTGGTGATTAAAAATTTTGTACTTAATAAAGCATCAAATAATAAATCTGAAAAGTCCTCACACTAGTCGCTCACCAGATTACAGATGTACCAACTAATAGCCTTGTGTACGTGTTTCGTACGACTTCAACATCGCATAATTGTCAGTATTTATTTCCATTTACCGCCAAAGACAATAGTTCAGGTCTGATTTTAAACCGTACAATCATATAAATTGTGAACAGCGTTGAAGCTGCCACGAATTTTCAGCAGTTTGCGTTACCATACCACTCTTCAGCCTAACAAAGAAAGGAAAATATGAAATGACAGTGAGTTTCAAGATCTATGAGGAAGTAAGGAATAAAAGGATTCACGCAATTACTACCAGTTTTTGACATTATTAGCTCTTTAACTTCAGAATACATTCTGTCGTTGTCTCTCAAGATATTCAAAAGGCTGTGTTTCATCAACATCTCCGCATGGGATATGAGTTTCTGAATATTTGAATAACAGTCTCTTTCGCAGACAACTGTGGCATAATCAAATAAAGTGGTTACTGAATACCTCTGGTAAACACCACTTGACGTACCGAATTCCACAAACTCTGACTTAAATAACAGCATCTCAGTGGAGAAATTCACTCATAAATATTTCTACTAAACCTTTAAGAATCCCACTTTTAGTTTAAGGAGTATGATAGCAGTCTGGTCTTGGTTAAGAAACTGTATTGTTTACAAAGGTCTGGGAACTAGAGAGTGTACCGACGTCATGGAATGAGTCGACAGTTGTCTCTATCTTTAAAAAGGGTTCCTGTAACAAATATCGGGGGATATGTCTACTTCCGATTGCGTCCAAGCTATTGGCTTCCATCATACTTTGTACATTGTTCAAAACCCGAGAAAGATTGATTCGCGAGGAGCAGGCTGGTTTTCGTTCTCTGGCTGGGGTCCAAGAGATGATGTAACACAGTGGCTAGAGACGTTATCGGATATGGCTCAGAATAGGAGCAAGTGGCGATCCTGCTGTAACCTTCTTTTACTTTCTTCATAAAAAGTGGTTGTATGTTCTTTAACTGAAAGAATTCTCCTGATTGTACCTTTCCGTTTTTTTCACCATTATTATTATTATCATTATTAATAATACACTACCTTACGCTAATCTGTTCTCTTCTTTTTTCATATACGCACCTTTTCTCTCTTCCCATTCTCATTGTTTTGTATAGCGCATATATATTTGGTGTCCCCTTGTACCAATATTTGTGTTTAAATAAATAAGGACAATCAGTGATCGCTCTCAGTTTAATTAAATTACACCCAGCTCCCAGATTTTAAATCGTTGTAACGAAATTATTTGTTTGCAATTTTATTATTCAGCTTCTATTTAAGCAAGCATAACGGTCGGAAAATCAACCTGCAGACAAACATGGGGTACGCAGAATTGTCTGCTGTATTTTATGGTCGTCCTAATGCGGATATCAATACACCTCAGATCTCTTCTGTTACTGATTCTCATACTCATAGTTTTCTTATTCATGGCTCCAGTTCTGCATCTTCGAATCAAACAAGTCAAAGTAGTCAACAGGCGCCAATCAGTGGATTACCAGGAAGCCCAGGAGCTCTAAAGACACTTGATCCTCCCAACTCAATTAGTACTTCTAGTCGGTTGAATGTACGGAAATATTTCTTACAGGTAAATATCTTTCCATATCTTCAAGAAATTTCACAAATATGTAATTAACTAATAAAACTGTCATAAAACTTATACTTTCAAAGTAAATACTGACCAAAACAATGTGATTATTTACACTTTGACATTAAGTTTTGCATAGGTTGTCACTGTAGCGGTCTTAAGTGTATGTATTGTGGTGTCATTGGAACATAATAGATTTATGGTTAGCTAGTTATTTTAATTACTTTAAATCCACATTTTTATTTGATCAATCAACTATTTAATTAGCAGCGTCATAGTGTCCCATACAGATAAACTTTAAGTGTAACTTCCTAGTCTTTTTAATGAGACTATCGGGTGAAACTATTATTCATGGACGACCTTTGAGCGACGCTAAAGTGACCTAGACACGTCCACTCACTAACTAGGACCGAATGTGGGTTATAAAACAGTTTGAAGAATAAGGATCATGATTTACATTTGATGGTTAAGGTTAGAAATTAGATTTAGGGTTTTCATCATGAATTGACATCAGCTAAAATGCCAATACGCTATTTGGCCAAATGGTTAAATGAATTTCGCACCAAAATTCAATATCTGTTATCCTAAATCTGATTGGTTCATCCATAAATTATAGTCTCTCCATATAACTGGTATTAGTTCAATTAGCACTTAAAATTAATTGAGTTTTCAAACCAAAGAAAATGGGATTCTGGCTACAGAAATTTTAAGTGGCAATATAGTTAACTCCCAGTATTTATTTTCCTGCTCGTTAAGATGTTTAGGGTCGATTTAATGACGTTAACCATGGTTCAAAGTGTTACTGCAAAACTTCAACATTAGAATAATACTTGAGACTTCATAGACAATGATACAAATGATATCCTTCATTTGAAAATCATTTTTTAGATGTATTTTAATTATAACAGTACCATGAAGATGGAAAACCAAAAATAGTCTGTACCAGTTGATACTGATTATAGTAGATTATATTACACACTGTCCGATACCAAGGTTCCTCTAAATACATAAAAATACTTTGATTATGATAAGTCAAATCAGATAACATCTAAATATCAACTGTCTACTGGATAATAAATCAGTTGCTATTGAATCACTCAGCTTTCTTACTCGGCTACATATAGATAACATTCATGTTGCCCTTTTATGATAAATATACAATCACAGAACTTAAATTTAAACATTTTATTACTTTGCTCCTAGTCATAAATTTTATTCCATGTTTCTAGAATCCATTTTATCCCCTTTAATTCTACTGTTTTTAAGCTGATAACAGCAGCGTGTTTGAAAACACTATATTTAATCCGAGTTTTTCTTATTAGTTAATACCATGTGTTTATACCACATGACATCACATATATATAACCCCATATAATAAATTATGTACCTTGGTATTTAAAAAGGTATATTCATCTATGAATTATATTTCAACAATAAAATCCTTAATCAGTGTATTATTATGACCCCGTACTCTACAATAGATATTTTAGATGCACTTAAAAGTGAAATTGACAAGTTTCGTTTGTCTTCTGTTCTTCCTTGCTAGTATTTACATGTAGGACTTGCTAATCAATATAGAAGGTAATATTGTGAGAGAATGTAAAAATGCTGAATCTTTTCTTTAAGAAAAATATCCATTCCTTCACGTCATACAAAAAGCTTCATCGTATCCTATTAGCTTTGTTCTTACGTTACTGTAACATCACTATTAAAAAAAGTGAATTATTGATATTAATTGGTTATTCCGTGGGGAAAAAACGTGAATTTAGTTGTAATAAGCTTTTTGATATTCACGTGAGATATTTCACTCTAATTCGTAAAGTAGGGTTAATTGATCGATTTTTATTTACTTTACAAGTTGAAATTCGTTTGGATTCTCCATGCTTGCTATACTTTAACACTAATTGAACATTGTCATTATTCCAAATATTCCAATCACACTGTGTTTTAAATAGAGCAAGAACAAAGATTGGTGCAGAATAATATGAATTCATTTTATTTCGTTAGGTTCTCATCAGCTGCTTACATCCTAAATTATTTGAAATTCAACATTATTACAGATATTGACATATTTATACATAAGAGTGTGAATAAGGATCAATACATGTGTATGATGATGTAGCAAATATTCATATAGTGTTAATGAGCTTATAAAATGTTTGATTCGAATAAATAAATAAAGTTAGAGAGTGAAAGTTCTGGAACATTGAAATAGTGATTAGAACTCATGAAAACAGATTAATAGTAATAAAGAAAATATGAATTAAAATCAATCATTTATATATGATGTAATTTAAACTTCAGAAAGAGTTGGAAGATGGGGAATGACGTAATAAATAAATAAATAGGAGTAAATGAATAGAAAGGGTGGGGATTATTGTTACCAGGGTAAAGAAAGATTTATTACTGTCTCTTTTTGTATACATAGATCTGGTTTTAAACGTTTGATTGCTATCGCTTCAGCGAATTTCAAAAGGTTAGAGTTTGATTGTTTGTTGATCACCTTGAAGGACTTCAGTATATCAACTTCATGTCCTGTATCAAGGAGATGTCTTGCGATAGCACTGCTGAATGCGTTTAATCCATTTAACCGTAAACTTTTCGGAATATGTTCTTTGAATCGGACGTAGGCTCTCCTTTCTGTTCTACCAATGTAACTGCTTTGGCAGGTACATGTAAATTTGTATACATAATTGGTGGTAACATGAAAGGGATACCTGTCGACCTTTGATTGTGTCAAAGAACATGTTGTTTTAGACAGGACAATCAATTTTGCTGCAGGATAAGTTCTCGTCAGTGCAGTTTTTAGTCTCATACTGATTAATCCTGTGATGTCGTCACCTTTGAATTGAAGTTGAATAAAAATAGGCTTTTTATTTGCTGTAATTTCTTTCGGTTTTTTATCTTCACATTTGCCGTATTTTTCAATAAATTTCAGTGGGTATCCGTTATTCTTTAAACATTTTTTAACATTCATAACTTCCTCTTCTAGTGTATCGGAAGTACAAATTCTTTCTGTTCTGTGAAACAGTGTTTTGACCAGTGCTTTTTTGTAACTGATTGGACAAAAGCTATTGAAATTAAGATAACTACCATTCCATGGCTAACCTCGAAAAAACCAAACTCAAACGAGCGATTGATGAAATGACGTATTATTCGAGGTATGTTGATGATACCTTCATCGTATGTAATAATAAACAACATGCAACAAATCTGCTAGAGTTTTTCAACAAAGCACATCCGAATATCCATTTCACTATGGAACATGAAAAAGAAAACAAGTTCCATTTTCTCGATATCGCGGTGAAAAGAAGAAAAGATGGTACGATTCAACGTTCAGTTTATAAGAAAGACACATGGAATGGTAGTTATCTTAATTTCAATAGCTTTTGTCCAATCAGTTACAAAAAAGCACTGGTCAAAACTGCACTGACGAGAACTTATCCTGCAGCAAAATTGATTGTCCTGTCTAAAACAACATGTTCTTTGACACAATCAAAGGTCGACAGGTATCCCTTTCATGTTACCACCAATTGTGTATACAAATTTACATGTACCTGCCAAAGCAGTTACATTGGTAGAACAGAAAGGAGAGCCTACGTCCGATTCAAAGAACATATTCCGAAAAGTTTACGGTTAAATGGATTAAACGCATTCAGCAGTGCTATCGCAAGACATCTCCTTGATACAGGACATGAAGTTGATATACTGAAGTCCTTCAAGGTGATCAACAAACAATCAAACTCTAACCTTTTGAAATTCGCTGAAGCGATAGCAATCAAACGTTTAAAACCAGATCTATGTATACAAAAAGAGACAGTAATAAATCTTTCTTTACCCTGGTAACAATAATCCCCACCCTTTCTATTCATTTACTCCTATTTATTTATTTATTACGTCATTCCCCATCTTCCAACTCTTTCTGAAGTTTAAATTACATCATATATAAATGATTGATTTTAATTCATATTTTCTTTATTACTATTAATCTGTTTTCATGAGTTCTAATCACTATTTCAATGTTCCAGAACTTTCCCTCTCTCTAGTTTTATTTATTTATTTGAATCAAACATTTTATAAGCTCATTAACTCTATATGAATATTTGCTACATCATCATACACATGTATTGATCCTTATTCACACTCTTATGTATAAATATGTCAATATCTGTAATAATGTTGAATTTCAAATAATTTAGGATGTAAGCAGCTGATGAGAACCTAACGAAATAAAATGAATTCATATTATTCTGCACCAATCTTTGTTCTTGCTCTATTTAAGATAATAAAGGGAACTATGTGTATGAAAACACTGTGTTTTATTGTTAAAGTTCTTAAAGGCTTCTAAAAAGTATTTTAAATTGTTAAAATAATTACGCATGTATATATTCAGTTACTAGATCATGTAGCATATTCTGTTGACCGGGAAAAACAGTATTCTACTACTGCGTATATCAAAGTTCATTGGGTCATTTCCACTTCCTTATTAAGTTCTCAGTCAACTTAAAACCTGGCACATATTTCCATTTGTTCAATTTGCTACACCATATCAGTACAGTGACATAAAATTATTGCGAAAGATTGCTCCATGTGCATTCATATTACATTTTAGTAGTAATTATTTGATGATTTTCACAGGAATTGTAGTTTCCAACGTTAGAAATAGTGGGATTATCACCTATTATGCTGTTGTCGTGTTTCTCAGTCTATTTTTTTAGACTTGGTAAGCGTAAGTTTGTTTGTTTCAAGAGGGTCAACTTACATGTTAAGTAGTTGGTCGCTGTAAGTTGCATTATTTTTCGTGATTGATAGTAGTAAGCTGATGGTTGTAATTAATCTAGTTAGAATTTATTGGTAAATTTACCAGTAAATCAACTGGGTGGTACCTGAAAGCACTGTGTAAAATTCAAATGAAATATCACAGTATCGCTTATAGCCCTCATTATATTCAGCGCTAGTAATCAACTAGTTTTTTTACATCTATTCATTAAAGATCATTTGAATTATGTTGAAATTAATCACTTTGCCCACATAGAATAATTAATGATCTTATTCACCAACTCTGTATTTGCACATCGTTGTCTCTAAAGGATTGCTGATACTCAGTTTCAACACCATAGTAGTAATGCAGACGTTCGGCAACTTGTGTTAGATCACAGCGATGACAATTCAGTTAGTGTCATCGTCTTGAAACACAGGCTTTGGTGGTTTAGATGTGTACTACTAATGTCGTCCTAGCGAATTCTACACCGTGGATTATTTCCCAACGCCAAGACTTGTTGGCAAATGCGAAGAGGTGATCAGTGTATGAGTGTCGTGGTATTTAAAAAACGTACAAGGCTGACATCTGTTGGTCTTCCGCTACTCCCTGGTTGGGGTTTTAGAGGTAGTGCAACTTAGTGGCTTGAGACGTTATCAGACATAGCTGAGAACAAAAGCCAGTGGTTGTTTCGCTGTAACTTTATTTTACTCTATTCATATAAATGGGCGAAACTTCTTTAACTGGGGAAATCCTTTCTTGTCGTATTTTCTCAATTGAACTGCTTCCCCCATTCACTTATTTTTGTTCATTTGTTGTATTTTTTTATGCATCACCTCTTCACAATCTCACTGAGTGGAGCACATTTATTTTGATCCCCATTTGTATCAAAATTTATGTTTAAACAAAATAAAATATTTACCACAAATCTATGTTTTAATCAGCTAACTAGTGTTAATGAATCGTTTTCATTCCATCATTTTGTATTATAAACATTAAAGAAAGCAAATAAAGATTATTGTTTGGAATGTGATGGAAAAGATTTCTAAGTTTTATGTTTTCGTAAGTGTTATCAGTGTATCTATGGTTGAACAATTGAAATGCTTGACTTTCAAACACTATATCATTAATTCAAATCCAACTCCGTCCATCAGGATTTGATCATCTGTATTTTATTACTAACCATTACTTTATGAGTATAGTTTAATGTACCATATACCAGAATATACTTATTTTCCAGACCAGTTATATAGTTCATAGGTTTCAATTGTGGTCTACCTAGCTTGTTTTACCCAATCACTTGACATCTCCAACTCTTAGAGTTTACTAAAAACTTGTCAACAAATGTGTTTTTATCAGCTTATGATTGTAAAGACTGCTGAATTCTATTGAGATCACGGACCGAAGGTCCTAGGTTTGATTGCCAGCTTCAGGGTCGTGAATGTGTACTACTGAGTCCCAGCTTAGAATTGCACGACCATCCAATGCTTCTAGGCTTTCAATGGTTGTCTAAATAAAGTTGTTTTTGCTTTCTTTTCTTCATCTCTTTTGATGAATAATAATGGTTGAAATCTGACTAGTGAATTATTCAACCGTTAACAGCTTACATGTTTTCCGTTAGAGGTCATCCGCCTGTGAAATCAATCAAGCGAAATTCTTGGAAACTAACATGCTTCTACTCTTCGATATGTTTCTTTTTTTTAAATCAATTGTTTCTTATTCCAGTTTTTTAATGGAACTCATAATAATTCTTGTATGTGTTATGTTTATGTTTACATGAATTTACTAATGTATACTTCTCATAATATACCTTTTTATTCTTCCCAATTTTTAGGTCTCCACATATCAAATGATTATATTAATGAAATTCAATCGACGAAATCGTTATAGTTTTATTGAATTAGCCAGTGAAACAAATATTCCTGAACGTGAATTAAAACGTAGTCTTATGGCTTTAGCATTAGGTCGTTGTAGTCAACGAATTTTATGCAAAGAACCGAAAACACGTGATATAGAGTCAACCGATATATTCTATGTCAATGATTCATTTGTTTCGAAACATATTAAAGTTCGGGTATGTCTAAACTATATGTATAATTTGTATGGTTTATTTGTTTAAAATTTATTATTATTAATTCAATCATTATTAGTGTGTTGAGGTTTCTTACATTAGATTTATTTGTCTTGATATTTATACACATGTATTATGTGATTATTCTGAATTTTACGTTTTCAACCGAAATAGTTATTTTTAGTAATCAGTTGTCAGAAAACAGTACTCCAATATTGTGATCAAATAATATTCCTGCACTTGTAATTTATTACAAATGTATTTGATTATTGATTGATTGTAAAGAGGAATAAAATTTGAATTTGGGTCTTGTTTTTGACTACCCTCAATCAACCGATATTAGGTATCATACGCATATTAAGATGACATTGGATAATAAAAATTTTGAGAATTAGAGTGTTTGTTTCAGGTGATGACAATTTCTTAATTTATGATTTGATATGATTATGAAAGAATATCTTTGAAACATAAAACTACTTAGTGTTTCTGAACTGCTTTGTTCATGGTGAATTTATTTTTGAACAAGGTATTAAATTTTCAGAAATCTACTTTATTTTGTCTTGCAGATCAAACTAATAGATTCCCATAGATTAATTTTAACAACCCCCACATTAAATATCATAAAATGCTCTGTTTCTACTCGTTTACCTTCTCCACTTCCGGTTGCGGGTCCACTGTACGTCGTGTTTTCTTCTATTCTTAGTTTTTTTTGTAATTAGAACACTTTCTTGTCTGTTCATCGATTTCAGCATAGTTTGTGTGCAAACTCCTAACATACTGAATTTTCTACAGCCTAAATAACTAATTTTAAGTTACAAGAACCCGACAGTGTTTCACCTATTTTTTTTCCTTTCACTAGTTTTAAAATTAGGCAATCTAGTCATATAACTATCTTTTTCTGGATTAGTCTATTCAGACTGGTCGCACATAATGATTTAATATGTTCCACATTCTCTACTCCTCAGTCGTCATGACCATGATTGAAACTTCTAACAAATTTAATTTACCACCTCCAACCTATCACAGTTAAGAATAAAGCAACTCGCATTAAATAGACTAATGTATTTTCTGCATAACTAGCTACTGATTCAAACTGTTATTTATCTTCCCCATATTTTTATCTTTAGGTTCAAAGTATCACTGTTAAAGAAAGCGAACCAGAACGTCAGGAAACGCGGACAAAAGTAGATGAAAATCGACGTTATGTTATTGAGGCAACAATTGTAAGAGTCATGAAAGCTCGTAAAACTTTAAGTCATGGACAACTTGTTGTTGAAGTTATCGAACAATTAAAATCGCGCTTTGTACCTACCCCCCTAATGATTAAACAACGTATTGAATCGCTTATTGAACGAGAATTTCTTGCTCGATTAGAAGATGATCGTCGAGTTTATAAGTACTTGGCCTAATCTCATTTTGTAAACCAAATCTAAATACAACCTGTATCTTTCAAGTTCCATCCTACCATTCCTTGCGTCTACTCTCTCCGTTGTCAAAAATTTTCAAATCACTCCTATGATGTGTTGTAAGATGATGAGCTTTAAATAATGACCAGAATAAATCCGATTGCTCGTTATCAGTTAATTGAATAAATCAAATCTTCATTGTTCTCAATTTACTACTACAAACCTAGTCTTCATCAACTTACTACAGTTAAGTTATCTATGACTTTTTTGTTTCCTTTGCAAATCTCATGCTTCCATTTCAGTTTTTTATTAAACTACTAACCTTACCTACATAAATTATATCTGATTCGTTATTTTGTTGATGTACATATTCTAATTGCCTCACTCTTCTAAGTTTATGCATTCTAAAATTGATTCCTTTATCCTCATTCATAACTTTTGGGAAATGTGGAATCAATGTTAATTATTCATTTCTTTGTTTCTTTCTCCATTCAAATGTGCAGTTACCCACAGTACTAACTTATATCATTTGGCTAAAAGCATCTCCCTTGTTACAGTAAATAATACGATTATTAATGCGACGGGCAACTTCACATATTTCGGTGAGTAAATGAACTTACTTCTGAACAAGGAAGGAAGCAATCGGCTGTGTTAAACAATATGTCTAATTCTTCAATCTTATGTAGTTTGTCTTAACTGAACACATTTTGAGCAGTTTAAATCTGCCATGCAATGAATGCTTTTGTTTATGGTGGAATATTTTTCTTTTTTGAGTTTTAGTCGTACACAAAGCCCTGTCCACATTATTTTTTGTGTAAGCTACATATATGTATCCACTCAAGTAAGGCGTATTTTCTCGCCAAGGTTGACTTTTCTCTCAAGGTTTTATTTTCGTATGTTTACTTTCTCTAGGTGTTGCTTTAAATTGTAGCACATAGTTTTGTGCAGTATATGTGTTTTTTTTTAGTGTATTCAAGGTGTGACTTTAAAACTACTATGAATTCAGTACTATCCGTTAGCTTGTTTTCTGTATCAATTGATATCTTGAATCAATCAGTTTATCAGGGTGCACTGTACACTGTCTGCTATTTATCAATGTTCTGTTAGTTGGTCAAAATGATACTAATTTCTTTTCACTTATTTTCTAAATACGAGGTAATTTTACCATAATTGTTGACCTCATAAACAACTCGGTCGCGTGAGCATTTAAAAGTGCTATGAGTTCGTAATTAAATTAAAGTAACACCTAGGTCTATATTATTATTATTTTGTGTTTTTAGACATCATTTACTAATTTACAAATTGGATACGTTCGTTAGTCATTATCAAAATTGCATGTAAAGGTAATTAGTAGTTAACTCGCAAAGTGACATATCTTGTTTGGATAAGTTTGACTGAATGCTTGTTCTCGACGTCAATGAGTCTCAATACTTTGGACGACTAAAATATTTACTACGTTATGACAGATGCTTCATTTTAAAGAGTGTTTTCGTGTCCTGAGGTAACCAGAACGGGTAATCACTGAGATACTCCATTTGTCTAGTCCTATGATTTAATGAAATAAGATTCTTCAAAAGGGATATCTGCACAGGATTCCTAGTGAGTTCACAACAATAATCCAAACCTACCCCAATATGAAAACTACTGAAGGTGTATAATTTGGAGTTTCATGTATCAGCTTTTATGCAGAATCTAATCCATTATCGAGACATTGTATTTTCCGTATTTGAAGCGGGAAGCAAAGTTGAGATTTCTAGAATTAATACAAATTATAAGGGGTTTCGCCTGGATGAAGCAGTTCAGTAAGATAACGTATTGGAACTTGCTTTCTTCTATGCAGTCACCTTTGATTGGCGCATACACTTTGCTTTGCACTTGAACTCAGGCTCTTTAATCCTTGTTTATTCACTGTAGCAGAATAAGGAAGCAGTATGGTAGTAAAATTCTTATTAATTGCTTACTTATTTCTCAGATTATATAGTTGTCTTTGGTGACAACCGTGTTGTTTGATCGACTTGTCAATTATCGTAAACAGCCGGCGTTACTCCTGAAATAAAGCTCGTCGTCAGTCAAACGCTCCGTTAAACCTTCAGTCGGATCATATAGTCTCGTGGCTCCATATATCGAGCAACTGTCTTATTTGGAATGCCGGAATTGACTATACCTCCAGTAAAATAAATGTGTTAGCAGTCGCATTTTCCAGAAATAATGACAGGTGAGATGGATTATGCAGTTTTTGAAAAAATGTCCTACTATTTTTTGAGCGAGATGTCATAAGATCCCAGTCACTGCAAATTACATCGTTTTGCATAATCCATATGGTAGGACCCTAATTTTCGTCGTATAAAACTTTTAAATATCTTTCTCACTTGTATATTATTGGAAACGTTCATTCTAAAAAAGAAGAATTGGTAGTTGTTTGTAGTGAATTGCATACCTAACACAGATGAACTAAGCTTCTATCGTAGCATTTGATCCTTTGGTTGTAATAACGAATTTTTAGGCAATCAGGTATACGCTATTTTTAGTCATGGTCACTACAGTAAAAGACCTATTGTCAAAATGAATATTATCAAAGCTGGGTAGTGGTGTCTAGTACCATATCAAGCCCACATGAGTTATTCTAGCTCCCAAACAGACCAATTTATTCATTCTTCTTGAGTCACATTATGACCTTGTTAATTATTCAATTGTCAACCTTGACTTTTTATGTAAGCGGATGCATGTACATTGCTTATCCTATTCATCACGTTTTTAACTTATTTTTGTTTGAATATAAACGTCGACTCACGTTTGGTTAAGTTGAGTTGGCTCAATTGACTCCTCTGATTCATTTATCTGATCGTCTGTTTGGCATCAACGATTGCGTATACAAACTCGATTCTCGCATTTAACTTATTTAATTCCGTCATTCACTAACATGATTCAAGTCGATGATTATATATGAGGGTAGCCGAGATGTATTTTTCAATAACAGTCATTCATTCAATCATCAAACGACCTAATTGGAGTCAGATAAATGACTACTAAAATATCATGCAGTCTCCAACCGACAGCTGCGATGATACTGAAAAGAGGTAGGAAAAAACTGAACGACAGCGCGGAATAACTTGTTATAACTACAAAAGTAGAGCTATTTGTAGCAGAAAAATATGATGTAAAATAAGTTGACGAACTTAACTGAACACTAGGTTAACTGTTATTCAAACATTCTCAGATAAATTACAGAACAGTAGTAGTCAATTAAGTTAACTAGAGTTTAAACTCATGGACAGAAAGATAAAGTAAACGAGTAGGATAACTGTGCGGACTTCGAAAATGTGATCTAAATAATATATTTTATTAAGCAAAAATCTGAATTATTGTTGAACAACTTGCAAAGTCCTAGCATAGGAGTTTATTTTTATTAGAAAAAGGGTGTCCCAAGTGAAACCAGTGTGAGGTTATAAATATGATATAATATGAAGTAAACACCACGGGAGAACGACACTAGTAACAATGATTAGTCCACAGTACACAATTTTGTCAAATATGTCACATCCCATAGGAATGAGTGAGTTTTTGTCTCGTATTGATTGTTGGTCTAAATTTCAAGCTGTTAACTTTAGCATAAGACATGAACGGCATTTAAACACCATTTTGAGATCCCATAATGCTTGTACCATTGGAAACTCTTTGATAAACACAGTGTCGAAGGTCAATTATCTTGGTGTTACCTTTTCCTCTGACCTCTCTCGGGTTTATCATGTTTTACTGTTAACGAAGAAGGTTTTCCGTCTGACTGACTACATAAAGAGATTGCATGCTTTTGGGATTACTCGTCATTTACTCTTACAATTTGTCAACTGCATATTGCGTATTTTTCTTTACTGTTCTTCATTATTCTTTCCCGGGCTTTTGAGAAAAGAATTTGTTGTATTGCGGAGAGTGCTGAAGGCAGTTAGCAAGGTGTGTGGTGAATTTTTTGAAGGTCATAATTAATTTGGTTGTGAATAGACATCTAAAGTCATGCTAACTCCTTGCAGGTGTTATCTTATCAGATACGAACCATCCTATTCACTCATATCTTCCTCCTTGTATATCTTCTGGTAGAACGAGACGTCATTACATTAAAATCGAAGCAAAAGTATAAAAGTTCTATAATACCTTACCAAGCAAATATACTCTGTGACGAACAGGCTGTTAGAGTTAACCTAGTCAATAACCTGCATTCTTAACATTTCTCTAACTTGGAAAGTTGCACAGTTTTTTCAGATTTTTTAAACCTTTTTCTGTCTTTGTTTCTGTTTTTTGTATAAGAAATTTGCTGAAATACCCTGTGCTGAGAATTGTATATTATACCAAAATTTTTTATTGAATAAAGCTATTAATCATTTTGAGATGGTGGAGATTTGTAGCTCAGGTGGATGAATTTGGTGGAGTTTTGTTCTCTGATCTGGATGGTTTGGTCGTGGAGCTTTCATCGATCTTCTGAACGACATAATCAGCACAAGCTTCAGGTAGAAGTGAAGTGTTCGAATTTCTCCATATGTGTTTCACAGCCTTGGCATCATCTCCTGTCCCTGTTACACTTGATCTACCAATTCAAAAACATTATTGTCCTATCATATCGGTGTGACGAATGATTTTTGTTCATTTCGACAAGACACGCAATACTAGTCGGTGTGATTGTACGTTCCACGTAATGACTATAATTCCTTCAATTATTGTACTAACCGAATTGTTTTTACGTTTAGAAACATAAAGTTCAAAGCCGAGTTATTCTTGTTCTAACTATAGCTTCCACATAGACTCTGGGTCGTCAGTATCGTGTTTGCAGTTCTAGTAGTATATCTGTAAGATGGATTAAATCCTATATCCCCTATGTAGTTTGAGCTGATTTCTAATGTTTCTGTGGTCACTAGCTCGAGATCGCGCTCTGAGGAGACAGCCGGAAGCGGATTTTCGTAGAGGGTGCAAGTGTTTGGTGCCAGATGAGACAGAATGTTCATGACTCGGCATTGCGGTAGACCAACTTTTAACCTATTGTCTAATGCCCATTCCCCAGGTGCTGTAAGACCCTTCTGAGGCTCAAGTGAATCCTTTTCGCGTTTTATGGACTTTCAGATCTTTGCATCATCTTCGCTGATCGATATCGCCGAGCCAATTTTATCTGACGGATTGTTAATAAAGATCGGTGACAGGAGTTGATCTAAGTTTATCCCTTGTGAAACTCCTGATATTAAGACTCCCCAACTCACATGCAGTTTATTTGCCTTAGTGTGAAACGTACCGTTTACCACGTAGCTTCTGAGCTAAAAAAGAATCAGGTCAGTGAATCTCATCTTTTCAATCGCCTCTGTGAGAAGTGCTTATGTATTTTGTCTGCTGTTCTTCCGAAGCCAAGGACTATTGAACGAACTGATATATTGTGATCCTAGAATGTTTTTCAGCATTTGACTTTTTCTCAGCATTTATTATCTTTATTTTTACAGTGCAAACTCATCCATACTTTAAAAATTAAGTTTCTGGCAGGTGTCGAAAAGGATTTCTGGTAAAGCTACAACTAGTATGAAAAACCTTTCAAAGTACTTTTATCTGGAAAGATGCACTGAATGTTTTATTAGACATGCGTTTAAATATTAGAAGAATGCTTTCAGGTGTAAGCAGTCAGTACGGTTATAAGTGTTATATTCAGCGAAGAATAAAGGAGTGGTAGTTGCTAAAATTATTTAGTGGAATATTACACTTCTTGTTGTCATAATATAATTACTTAGTAACTATAATAATACACACAAATACCTTTTATAATAGGATTTTGATTAACTAATCAAGTATCATTGTGTGGCATATTATTCCTGATATGTGGCCAGTTAAATATCCATTGTTCCCCTTGGTCACATTAATTTTTAGGTCTGTTCGTGTGTTGTTATTTTTTTAACTTTATGATGTGATATTATTGGTAATGTCTGTAAGCAGACTATGTATGCTTGAAATATTTGCATAGTGTAGGCTGCTTGCTGTGTTCGTGTTTATCAGAAAAAAATGGCACCCATCAAACTGAAGACCAATAATAGCTTACTGTTGACTCAAAGTTATTGATGATGAAACAGATTCCCATAAGTCATAAGAAAGGGGTCTTAAAAGACATTAACTGATATGTGTGACTGAGACATCTGGAGTAAGAATCTCCTGTAAAGTTGATCTTTGGATAAGTATTAAATTGTAGCGTGGCGTCGAGACGAAATGGACTATGAACACCGCTACCAAAAAGCTCGTTCCAAATGACTCCATAAAAACCCCGAGAAGCTAAATATCAGAAGGCAATTAATGGACCAAGTCGATGTTTATTTGCTGGCGATCTCGTGGCATCGAAATGATACCGAGATCGTGCCAGGATACAAGCTTGGTTACAGAAGGTAACCGAATTCGCGCGAAGTTACAATCGAAGTGTAAGGATAAGAATGGAACCCCAATATAGCTGTCATTAGCACATTCAAACAAAAGCACATTAAAACAAACACTGGTACATTTGGTTATAATAATAATTGTTTTTATTAAACCAGTCGTGTTCTCGTGATAAAGGTGAGTCACTACAAAATAAATAAATAAACCATAGCTTTCTAACCAATGGCTATCACGTATGACCTGAATTTATCAGCAACAAAAGCTTACACAGGATTATCTCATTACTATTTTAGTACAGAAGAAGCAACTATAAATCAGCGCCATTCAAGTATGAAATAAAATAGATCAATTGGTAGTTCTGATTGATAAATTCTGAAAAACTTTAAACTACGACCAAAATGGTCAGTCGGTCGGTCTACCATCTATTTTAAGTTTAGATAACAAACTGTGCAATTCACTGACTTATTACTGATTCCTAGCATTGAAACTACTGTTATGAATAAAATAAACACATATCACCATGTAGAGCTTCATATCACCTATCAATTTCGTCATGACTCCGGACTACAGAAACAAGCAATAGTTTCAAATAGCATAATTACAAGAAATGATGTTGGTTCAATTCACACCTCAAATGCAGGGAATTTTAAAAGCAAAAAACGTCAACATAGGAACAATACTTCAAGTGATATGTACTAAAAAATCTTCTCTTTGATGATACCGTAGTTCTACTACTTGGTTTAGTAATTTACTACAGTGTTTACATAAGCGTTTGTTCTGTGAAATTCAAGGCTTGTAGGTGAACATTAACTCCAGCGCTCATTTTCAACGACTTCCATTAGTTCTATCATATCACATGAAATCTATGGAAATGTGGAGATATGACTGACAAGCTTCTTTTGTAAATAGTTTTTATTATTATTTGTATTTATTTTATCAATTTCTCACTGTATGTACATTTGTCATTCAATGAATGTAACTGTTGTTTTACTAAATGACCTTGAACACACTTTCCGTCGTGATACTGACCAAGCGTGACATACTCCTGCTGGCTAACAAATACACTACTACTCACACATTCCTCGTTCTATTTTCGTTTGTGATTGAGTTCACTGAACTCTAAATCAAATAATATCTACATTTATAGACTGTAATTGGAATATATCACATCCTGCGTTGGAATATATCACTGGAGAGTTCGTCAACCAGATTGGAATTACCAAGCATTTATAATTGTAGTTTCTTAGTACCAGACCAGTTCCGAACACGCATCAATTTTGTGAACTTAAGTAAAGTCCCAAATTTCTACTGTACTTGTAATAAATAAGTTATATATATTAACATAACTATTGATCGTTATTAACTTTGTTGATACTTTTTGCGTTTATATATCGTCTGGTCCACCACAGAAATACCTTGATCTAGTTTTTGAGTTATGTCGATAAATAAATCTCTAAAATAAATAGTTCTGTGTGTCTTCGACATCGATTCTGACCTAATGGGTTTTACTGGACACATCTTGGCTGGATGTGTCTGGTGAATCGGTTTCACCAGACCACCATGGAGATTCTGTACTACCCACCCCTTGCAACAGGAAGTCAGCTCATATATATATATATATATATATATATATATATATATATATATATATATATATATATATATATATATATATATATATATATATATATATATATAATATCCGGTCGACGGACCTGACATAGACATTTATTTATAGAAACTTCTACTCTTTTGATGATGGTTGTAGTAGTTTTTTAAGTTTCAGTACCATACAAGGGGATTGACGTGCCATTCGTATTGGAGATTTTTACTTCGATGTTAGCTGACAATCGCTTTGTGCTCCATATGTCTTTCACTCATAAGAATGCTGTCGTTTCAGCTTCACCCCCACGTGTGATTTGGTTGATACTCTCCGTGCTCTATTTCAGGATCATGTCCTTTCCGTTGTGCATGTTGACGCCTAATGATTCAGAGGCTGCTGCTACACTCGTTATTTGCTACTCAACCATGTGGAACAGACTGCCAGTGAACCTCCGTTGCAGTGAAACTGTAACAGCATAGGTTGGTTGGTTAAGAGTTGACCCCAAATAACCAAACATATGCCAAAACAGTATTGTTCAAGTATTCATTCACTTCCTTATTTTGTATAAGCGTTATATTTCTTATTATCTTATATTGAATGTTGAAAGCCTTTGTTTGTCTGAACAGATAATCCCACGCACCACTGTGACTGCGCGAAGATCGAAATAAAGACCTATTCACTACTTATCTGGTTTCTTCTATCAATAGCACGAGGGTTACCTATAGGCACGAAACTGGTGAGCCCTTTTTGAACACAAATTAACCTCATTTTTGTTATTAATATTATTTTTTTACTCAATCGTAAAAGTAGACCTGATTATCCGTAAACTATGTTGGGTATATAAATAGTTTATTTTTTTATTATCTTAAGTTATTCGTGTTATAGAAACCATTTTTTCGTGCTAATTTTATTGCTATATTTGTCACATACCTCATGTCAGACTTAAAAGAAACCCATAATCTGGAGGATTTGTCACCAGTGGAGATGGACACTGTTATGACTACGAAATCTCGACTTCCAGAATTTGATCGTAGTGATCCTGAGTTGTGGTTTGCTCAACTTGAGCATTATTTCACGAGACACAATATCAAATCTGAAGGGATTCGCTATAAAGATTTGTGTTCTATCCTTCCTCCTTCAGTCGCCAAAGAAGTCCGTGACTTGATTTTAGATCCACCATCACCACAACCGCACACCATCTTAAGACGAGAGATAATGAACCGTTTATCGTTATCAGATAGTCAAAGAATCCAAAGACTTTTTCAAGGTGAAACACTAGGTGATCGGTCGCCGTCACAGTTTCTACGTCACCTCCAAGTCTTAGTGGGTGATAACACAGTGGATGAAGCAGTCCTAAAACAATGATGGATACAAGCTCTCCCATGCTACGTCCAACATTGTTTGGATGCACAAGATCCTGAAACCTCATTATCTCATTTAGCGCGTATAGCTGATAGAATAATGGAAAGAGGTCCTCCAACTGGATCAGGCACAATAAATCACACACAAAAAGTACAATCAGCAAAAGGCCCCGTCATAGAAGGACTCATTGCGAGTGTTAAGAGTCTCACTGAGGCTGTCACCAGAATGCGAATGGGTCATACAAACAGGAGCAGGTCACCACAACGACCACGATCCAAGTCACAAAACAGGTCACAAATGTCCAGACAATCTGGGCAGTTTTGTTGGTACCACTGGAAGTTTGGTGTCAACTCAACCAAGTGCAGGCAACCATGCGCCTGGCCTAAGCATAATTCCAAGACAGCGGGAAACGAGTAACACCTCCCCAGGTCGCGACAACTGAGGAGGGACGTCTAAACAGTCGCTTGTTTTATGTCAGAGACAGAAACTCTGGCTTGAATTTTTTGGTGGATACTGGCGCTGCTCTTAGCATCATCCCTCGAAATAAAACTGAGATTAGTCGAGAAACATCCCCGATTACACTTCAAGCTGCAAATAAAACTACAATCGCGACATTTGGGCAGAAAACGTTAAGCCTAGGTTTGGGGTTCAGAAGGCAATTCCCTTGGGTTTTCACGGTAGCCGACTTAGATCTGGCAATACTGGGGATGGACTTTCTAGAGAGATACGAATTTCTAGTTGACACCAAGAAACGGCGATTAACACTAAAAGAAACTTCGTTTTACACAAAAGGCAAAGAAAGTCACATCAGCTCTCTTAACTTGATTCAAACCCCTCCAGTAACAACAGCGAAATTCCAAGATATACTCGCGGAATTTCCAAACTTAACCAAACCAAACCCACAGCCTTCCAAAGACAAACTAAAAGTAAGTCACACTATCAAAACCGAAGGTGCACCGATGTTTGCAAAACCCAGGAGACTAGCACCAGATAAGCTCAAAATCGCTAGAGCCGAGTTTGATTATATGCTACAACTGGGTATTATCCGTCCCTCTGATAGTCAATGGGCATCCCCTTTGCATATGGTCCCAAAGAAGAATGAAGGTGACTGGCGACCGTGCGGGGATTACAGAGCCCTCAATCGTCAAACCGTACCAGATAGGTACCCAATACCGCATATCCAAGATTTCACAAACGGTTTACAGGGTATGAACATATTCACTAAAATTGACTTAGTAAGGGCATATCACAATATCCCGATGGCTGATGAAGATATCCCTAAGACAGCTATTACAACACCCTTTGGCTTATTCGAGTTTGTACGCATGCCATTCGGCCTGAGAAATGCGGCACAGACATTTCAAAGATTCATAGATAACCTACTTCGAGATATGCCATTTGCACAGGGGTATATAGACGACTTGTTAATTGCCAGACCCGATTTGCAATCACACGAAGAGCATGTACGAGCAGTGTTGACAAGATTGAATGAACATGGAATAAACATACATCAAAGTGTGTTTTCGGTGTTCAAACTTTAGAATTTCTTGGTCACACAATAAGCCCAGAAGGGATTAAACCTATAAAAAAAGAAGTGGATACCATCAAACAATACCCGATACCTAGCTCTCTAACACAAATGAGAAGTTTTCTAGGTCTAATTAACTTTTATCGCAGATTCATACCAGGTTGTACACAATTAATGCAACCTTTAACAGATTCACTTAAAGGAAAACCAAAAGAATTCAAACTGTCTTCTGACGCCGTCGAAGCCATTAAACAGCTTAAAGATAAACTGGCTCAAGCAACTACGTTGATATATCCGAATTCTCTTTCCCCACTTGCTTTGATGGTGGATGCTTCAGATAAAGCAGTAGGCGGTACCCTTAACCAACTGGTTAAAAACGCCTGGAAACCAATTGCTTTCTTCTCGAAAAGACTCGCTCCAGCTGAGACAAGGTATTCTACCTTCGGGCGAGAACTTCTTGCAATCTACCTGACTATTAAACACTTCCGACACATGTTAGAATGTAGGGAATTTATAGTCTTTACGGATCACAAACCACTGACGAATGCATTAAAAGCGAGAGCCGATAAGTACTCACCTCGAGAAGTCCGACACCTTCACTATATATCACAGTTCACAAGCGATATCCGACATGTCAAAGGTCAGGACAATCAGGCGGCAGATGCTTTATCCAGACTAGAAATGAACGTGCTACAGCAGTCTACAGTAAACTTCGAGACGTTGAGACACGAACAAGAGCAGGACCTAGAATTACAAAACCTACTTAAAACAAACAATTCAAGTCTTAATTTAAAACAGTTCCCATCACCTATCGAAGGTATTCTAATTTACTGTGACACGACCAAGGCAATGCCGCGACCTTTCGTCCCCAAAAATATGCGAAAGTTGATGTATAATAACTTTCATTCTTTGTCTCATCCTGGCGCAAAAGCTTCAACTAAACTAATCAATGCTAGATATATATGGCCGAATTTACAGAAGGATGTACACAAATGGGTTAGAGAGTGTTCAGCATGCCAACAATCAAAGATTAATCGTCACACAAATTCACCCATAGGTGTTTTCTCGCAACCAGATGCACGTTTTGCACATGTGCATATCGACTTGGTAGGTCCTTTACCCCGTTCAAATGGTTTTAATTATCTTTTTACATGCATAGATCGATTTACCAGATTCTCGATAGCGGACATCACAGCGGAAACAGTAGCCAAAGCTTTCATGCAGAACTGGGTAACCATTTTTGGTACACCCATAACAATAACGACGGATAGAGGAGCGCAATTCGAATCCGAAATATTTAATAACTCGGCTAAACTTCTAGGCTCCAATAGGATACGCTGCACTGCGTATCATCCTCAGGCTAATGGGATGGTAGAACGTTTTCACCGTCAGCTAAAAACCGCCCTTATATCTCACTCAAACCCCAATCAGTGGACAGAATTCCTACCATTAGTTATGTTGAGAATACGAACATCTGTCAAAACTGACACACAATGTTCAGCTGCGGGACTGGTTTTCGGAACAACTCTGAGACTACCAGGTGAATTTATTAACCCTAATACTAACAGTCAAAAACTTAATTTAGAAAATTACGTAGATCAACTACGGGACCATATGTCCAAACTTAAACCAATTAATACTCGCGAACAATCGCGCGCCGTATATGTACCTAAAGACCTAAGCAATTGCACGCACGTCTGGATAAGATGTGATAAAATAAAATCACCACTCAGTCCTCCATTTGAAGGTCCTTTCAAAGTCGTCTCAAGAAAATCTAAATATTTCGTGATAGAAAAACATGGGAACATCGACACAATAAGTATTGATAGGCTAAAGCCGGCTTATCTAGATCATGAACCACCATACGTATTGTTAGATCGTTTAAATGACAAATCCATTACGGAATCGAAATGTAAAGATGATAAATCTTTAAAAATGACTAAAACGGTTCGCTGGGCACATCCAATTAGTCAGTCAAGGATGTTGACAGTTTCGGCTGCAGGATAAAATCTAACCACGTAGCTAATCAGACCCTGCATCTACTCAAAAATATTTTTCCCCTCATTCCGCCTCACCTACAACTCCCCAGACCTTTTACTTTTGATATATAAGTGTTATGTTAAATATTTTTTTTAATACTGGACACATAAGCTACGTATTTCGAAACGATGGCTGAGGATTTTAATCAAACTCATACAACTAACACTGGCAAATACAACGAATTCAAAAAGCAACCCAGGCGAGTTTTATAATTTCTTTTTCTGGTTAATTAACTATGTTGGCTGTAGTCCTTATATATCTTTATACATTTTTCACGTAGACTGGCAATACATATATACAATATGAACTACTTCTAAAAGTTTTCGTCGAAGATATGTTTAGTAGCTTGATACGATTAATACTACTATTAATAAGTGGTTTTCTAGACAAAACATTTTGGATTAAACCATGGCCAAGTACTTATTAAAGTTCTCATCATTTTTTTTTCATGTTTAGGAAACTTATGTAATGACTTAACCAGTTTTCCTGCAGCATGCTTTTTAGTGTGATCATATAACCCATCTTTATTGGCAATATTCAGATTTTTTTTAAATTTCTGACATTTAAGAATCAATAACCGTGGAGATATAGTACAGTGCGTTACTGTACGGTTAATATGTTAGCCGCATTGATTCCACATACCTAATTTTAAACACAACTTATAAAGGAACTATTAAGCAATCATAACATTGAACTAACGACATGACTATCACAGCTATGTTAACGTTAAACCAATTATTATTAGTGGTCCTGACAAAACCCTGGAACTTAACACTAGCATTATAAAAAAGACATGTTATGTCAGTAACTTATATATATATATACTTTTTCTCTCGGTTTAAGTATAACGTGAAATGGAAATTACAAAACTTGTAGATTTTTTTTCTATAGGATTATTAGTAATCCAAACAAAGAACTTGTACTGTTCCAATATGGCATTTTGACGTATCAATCAGTCCTCCTGTTATCTTTCTCATATCTGAGCAACTTATGGCCAACAAACATCGTATTGAAGGGGGTTTCGATTAACAAAAACGCATGACCCACACGCACTCGAACCTCTGCCCTCCTGAATGCTAGACCGCGTGCCTAGCCATTAGGCCACATCAGACCACGAGGGGGTGACTGCAATCTTTCCTTTTACCGATTAATCATTCATAATACTAATGAGTAATAGGACTTACACACTTCTAAGGTGCAGACAAATTCGTTACTTTGATGAATTGACGAAATATTGCCTCAGTATATCATACATATTTAAATCAAACCAGAAAAGAGTATATGACACAACTGTACTTGATCCTCATACTCTACACAATTTTCTCCCCTCCTTAACCGTATATTCTCTTCCGTTTTATGGAGTAAAATTATGCACTCTTGGGGCAACGCTCCTAGGGTATCGTCCACTGATGGGGGTTGCGAGCACTTGAAGGTC